AAATTACAATAAACATTGTCTGCTGTTGGATAACTAAACGGACTGCCCCCCCCCCCCCGTCTGTTCAGCCCCTGCCCTCCATCCTCATCAAATCCAATCCGCCTTCAAATCAACCTACGCAAATACTTTCACTGTAACAAAACACATTGTTTTTCAATATTTAAAATAAGATACAAATGTATGTATGGTCTTTTTGTTACAACCAACTCCAAACAAACAGCTGTATGCTAATGTAGTTTCTTTGTGCAAAACATTCAATGCATTTATATTCAATATCATTATTCGTGTTTTTCTTGTATCGTGGTGTAAATTCGTTGTGCAAAACATTCATTGCATTCTAAATTAATATGTTTGTTGGTCTTCCAAAGCCATATCGTTTTCAAAACACTGTAACAAAATATTGAAATATACACAGGTCTTATGCACATGAATAAAGCAACGTACACGGCAAGAGTCAGATGTATCACATGTGTTTGAGGGGGGTGGGGTTGACAAAGCCCAACCCCACCCTAATCACTTCTACCCCCCCCCCCCCCCCCCGAACGAAATATAATTTAGATAGAAAATGTATACTTCCACCAGTATGTCCCTCTCCCCCCCTGAAATTTTCAAGCCCCCTTCCCCATCCCTTTGAGATAAAAATGAACTGAGCCCCTTAGGCAATAGTTTTCTTTTGGCAGCTCCCCATATTCAAGGCTTGGGTCCATGAGGTGTGTGGAGAGATACCTTATACATTAGGTTCTCTCAACTTAGGGCCCTGGCTTTGTGCTTGGGTTTCCAATGCCTAATCATCCAATAGATTATTAGACCATGGAACAAAATTTAAACATTAAAATCAAAATTAATATTCATCATCATCATCATCATTCCTTTGTGGCCCCTGGGGAGCAAAGGGCTGCAACCACACATCTCCATCGGACTCGGTTTTTGGGCTGCCCCCTGTATCTGTGCCCATGTGTGCCCAGCTGTTTTCACCTCTTCTTCAACCGTTCTTCTCCATGTCTTCCTTGGCCGGTCCTCCAGGTTGGGGGTTGAAACATAAGGCTAGCAAACTTATCTCGTAAAAAAATATACCGCTACAGAAACTGCAAAATTAATATTATAGTACGTTTATTTATGTAAATTAATATAAGTTCTATGTCTACATAACAATTTAGTTTGAGTTTGGACACCTTTTTTCTCAACAATATTTTTACATGACATCTTCTACTTCTCGTACCGCAGTTACCTCAACAAAAATCTAGGCACATTTGGGCTAGTCCTTTAACAATTATACGTTGCATAGATAGTTCTTGTTACAACGTTTTTCATCTCTTTAAATAATGCAGTGGTTTAGTTTGAGTATTCATGTCAATTCAATGCTTTATGTTATGTTGTATGTGTTTGTCTATATAACAAAAAAGGTGAGGTTTTTTTTTAGATTTCTTTTTAGTTTCTTTCCTCGAGTTTAACTCTAGTCATGCAGTAGATAGGAGATAATTTTACACCTTTCTGGCATAGTAATCGAAAAGTGACCTATATATCTTAGACCATTGGTTTTTAAAATCTATTGGGCGTTACAGAACCCTAAATAGTTCCTTAAGCGCTTCCACCGAACCATTCGTAACCATCGTCAACACTGTACGATCCGATAGCGTATCAAATGAGTCGAGTGCGTATCGCAGAACCCCTGAGACTGACTGACTGACCCAACCTCAGTAGCTTGATCGAACTCAGGTTAATAACCACTGGCTTAGAGAGTGGGACAGTAATGTATAGAACAAATTGGTAAATGAAACGTCATGTTGAAATTATAAAAATAAATAATCCTAAAATTAAGATAAAATTAAGGTACATATATCAGTTATACAAAAACAAGTATTGTCATTTACAATACATATGAAACAGCTCTCCTAGGGGTTATAAACTAGGTTATACATGAAAGTTTCATTTGATTGTTATAAATGATAGCTACCTATGATTGTTTTCTCGATCAGCTCTTATTTAGAAAATTTAGTTGTTTTCTCGGGGGTGGGGGAATGAGATGGTGATTAACATTAATCTGTTGTTTTTGGTTTCATACCTTGCAAAAAGTAGCACGCATTTTAATTTTTGGAAAAATAATGTATTGAAGGAAATCAAATCAATTTAGACGTTGTAGAAGATGGTAAGTTACGAAATAATTTAAAATAAAATATTTGGGGTTTTTGTTATAAATATACCATACAGGTAGTGTATAGATGGTGTAACAAAGTAAGTATGATTGGCGGGGGGGGGGGGGGCGGTGAAACAGAATGAGGGGAAAAAAACAAAGCAAAAACTTAGTTTTTTATTTATACTGCACATGTTGCAGACTACGAATAATGTATGCCTTTATTCAGCAAGTCAATACGGAAACGTTTCTGTGTTTTATCGATTTCTGTGTCTTAACATTACAGGACAGTAAATTAATGTGTATGACTTTTAAAGCTATCTAACCGCTACTTAAAATATACTAACCATGTCGTGTACGATTATGGTTTGTTGTGTTTGATAAGAATATTATTAGCCTATGAAAATAATTACCTAAAGCATAACAAGAGGTTTTACGTTGTAATTAACAACATTTTCAATTTCAATACGGACCATCCTAATATATGTGCGCACTAATCTCTCTCTTTCTCTCTCTCTCTCCCTCTCTCTCTGTCCGCAATATTTTTTGGCAACGTCATCAGTATGTTCAGCGATATATGCAGGACTAAAAGATAAGGACTTTTGTTGAAAATAATATGGGGGACGTTATAAATGTATAAACAAAATATTCTTTAAACAAGGAAAATAAAAATAAAGGCATATTCGAATGTAGAAACACATTTCTAACTAAAGTGTTTATTGTAGTGACATGAACAAAAAACAAAACAAAACAATAACGTTACTTGTCACAAGGTAAAAATGCGGAAAGAACACAAAAATAATGGCCCATTGTTTTCCATAAACGTGGACAAATGAATCGGCCTTATGGATAAACTATCGGTCAGCCTCTACTCGCACGGCGATGGCTAAAACGTGACCACGAGTGCAATTCTCCTCATATATATCGAAAACAAATTCCCAAGTTGGAACCCGTTGAAAACTCTTGGAGTTGTACATCGGCCTTTAGGGGTCAGATAAAATAGTGCTACCCACGGTAAAACCTCGGAACAGATACCATATGACAATCAATAAAAAATGTCAGATCAAATAAAATCATCAACTACACGATTAAAAATTATGTGTGAGCTATTTAGTCTTATATCTATTGTCCGTGGTATCGTTTGTCCTAATATATTTTGTCCTGAGATTATTTGTCCTGTCACTATATATATATATATATATATATATATATATATATATATATATATATATATATATATAGAGAGAGAGAGAGAGAGAGAGAGAGAGAGAGAGAAAGTTTATCTATGTGTTTATTTCTGTATGCTGAGACAAACGTTATGTAAAAAAAACTGCGAAGCTGGAAATATTTTATGAGCGTACAATACGATAAGGAAAATTACAAATACTTTTGTTTAATGGTAATCGAAAATTGTGTGCACGTCTATAAGAATATATCACCAGCACGATCAAATGTACAGACCCAAAGTCTATTCTCGTTCAAATGAAATATTTGATGATAGCAATTTACATAACGCATACCAGAGCCTCACTCCAACAATGAAATAAAAGCTTGTTCTAACATATGGAAACATATATATATATATATATATATATATATATATATATATATATATATATATATATATATATATATATATATATATATATATATATATATATATATATCGTTTCCGGCAAAATTTGAAGTTGAGGCGGTGACTTTAGTTTTGGTTTAGAAAAATAGTCAACGCTATCAACCTAGCGCCTATTTTATCCCACCCTCTACGGGCCATTTGTCTCGTATTAAAGAAGAATGATTAAAAAATTATATAAAGTGTTAATAGATTTTTAAAAAATGCATAAAAAACGTTTAAACGTAAAAAGATTTAAGTTAATAATGAACTACAAATGAGAATGGGATGGGGGCTCTGGGGAAGTACCTATATAGAAAATATATATTTTTATACTTGTCCGCCCCATCGAAAATTTAGTACGTCCACCAACCCCCGAAAATTTTAAGTACTACCCCCACTCCCATCCACACAAGTCACCAAGGAAAAAGTGTCTGAAAAAAACCGCTGTCTGCGTGATTAGATTAGAGATGTAGGGTGTACCTTTAATCTGTATGCTCTGCGACCAGTGTTTTTTTTTTCAGACTTTTTACTTTATGTAGGGGAACTTAAAAGTTCCTGTGGGTGGGGGTGGGGGGGTGGGGGTGGGAGTGGAAGGGTTACGACTAAATTTTATCCGAGGGAAATATAATATCCTTTCTATATACGTTTTATTTTGTCGTGGGTGGGGGGTCGGCGGTGGACGTTCTGAATGAAATTGTAAATGTGACCTTTGTCAAAGGTGAGCTTAGTCGTAGGATTTATGGGAACGATCTGCGACGATATTTACTAAGAATATGCAGCAAAAAGTGTAGATCAAGGTTAACAGATTAATTAAGGATGAATAATTAATCTATACCAGCTTTACAAAATCAGTGATTCTCAATTAACTTCGAGTTAAATCAGCTTTCGATAACGAGTTGATAGAAATCGGTACAGATGAATAAATTTTCACCACAAAATTAATTATTAGCTTCAAAAGTTTAACAAAAGTCTAACCTTAATGTTTTAGAGGACTAGAATTTTCTCTGACCCAAGAGTTGCGCCCCTCTGCGGTTCAGAAACAAGTGAAGTCCCCTGGGCGGCAGTGCGACATTTCACTAACAAACCGTTATCGTGTGGATGATTTGGATTCTATGAGTTTGGCGGGGCACGTGTTGCGGGGTAGTCGATTTTGAACACCTGTCGTCAGCTGAGTCATTGCATACAACACTTGACTTGTTGTTTTCCCAACGTGACAAATCGACTTGGTGTTCGACAACATATGCTGGTCCTATCTGCACCTTTAGTGATTAAAGTCAAAATTAATTGGACAAAAGGGAGTCTGAATTGTTTTGTTATCACAAGTAAGTTGCTTTTGTTATGAATTGAACTCAAAGTCTCTTGTATAATAGGGGCGCACTTGTGTTTTAATATTATGGCGTTTTCTAGTTTACAAAGCTTGGAACACAATATAAAGTCTGTATTATAACAGCGTGGTTTGTAGCTAGAGCCCGTGACTGTTAAGACAGATGCTCGATTCCATGCTCTGGTCTATCAAGCTCTAATCAACGCTTAATAAGGTAGGGAAACTACAGATTTTTTTGCATAAAACTGACCGCATTATAGCTACTTGTGCCAAACTCCAAAGAAACTGTTGAACTTTACATCACCTGTGCTATCGGCAGTCGAGGCACCGAAAAGTTGTCTTATTTACTTGTATATCAATATTGACATAGATTGTTATTTTAATGCGTTCCTACCGCTTCTTCCATATTTACTTAGTGTTTGAATGGAAAATAACACTTTAAATGAAATATATGCAAGCGGTTTTTTAGACGATTTAGCAAACATAATGTAGACCTAGTATTATCAAAATATGTAAATACTTATATATATATATATATATATATATATATATATATATATATATATATATATATATATATACATATATATATATATATATATATATATATATATATATATATATATATATATATATATATATATATATATATATATATATATCTGCGTGTGTGGGTGTATGTTGTATGTGTGTGTGTTAGTACATCTCATGTGGCAGTATATTTAAATTACTTGTCTACAGTAAATAGAATACAAACGTTAATAATGTCTTAAGATGCATTGCGAATTTGCGACAAATTCAATCAGGTAATATCAATTGTGCATCCAAGCGAGGTGTCATAAATCGAATCATAAAAATATAAAGCAAAAAATAAAAATAACCTAAGGCTAAATAACATTTATTTATTTTTATCTAGAGTTCATGCGCTGGGCTATCTATCTTTCTTCATATTAACTACGATAAGAAATTTAACTGGGAGCAGAAGTTTAACTGGGACTAGAAATTTAACTGGGACTAGAAAGTAAACTTGTCACTAAAAGTTTGTGACATTCAAGCACTTGGCGAGCACGGCTTCCGGAAAGATGCGCAACGGGAAAATGCGCAATGAGAAAAATGTTCAAACAGAAATTTGCGCAAACATATAGAGCTAACAGGAATGTGCACACACAGAATAATGCGCAAAGAGAAAAGTGCGCACATAGAAAATGAACAAACAGAAAATTACGCAAAGAGATTTTTTTCCGCAATCAGAAAATTGTGCAATGCGTAGTTTCCGCACACTGAAAAAACACACAGAAATGTTTGCACACAGACAAATGCGCACACGGAAAATATCACTCAGATCATTTGGCAATTGTGAGTATGACCATGTGTGTGTTCATGCTTGTATGTTTAAGTTTGTATGTTTTTATGTGTATATTTCATTCTCATTTCTGTATACTTTAATACAATTTAAATAATTGCAACAGCTCTTTCTAAAATGCATAGAAACATAAAGTGCTAAGATCTTCTAATCATACATTCATAGATGCTATTGAGCGAAGGTGTTTCGAACATAGATGATCGGCCCACAAGTTGTCTGACCATAACGAATGCTTGTCCATAGGCAGTTTATCAACATCTCTCTCTCTCTCTGTCTTTCTCTCTTTTCAATTTTAAAAATGTTCGAGGGGTTGGGGGCTAATAAAATAGAGACACTAAGGTAGAGCTTATTCCTACATCCGGCAATGTAAATAGGTTCCCTTCATTTCATATTGTATTGATTTTGCTACAAAGTGAAATAACCCCCACTGAATCTACACAAATGTTTAAACAGAGTTTTCAATATGCCATACTCCTGCTTGATCACTTTTGACACAAATTCATACTTAAAAATGAGTATATGTGTGTTTCATTTCACACAATTCCTATACGATTCCGTTTTTTACACCGGTCGGACAGCTACGATTTAGGTGTTTTTTGAGAAGATAATTATAATTCACAGCCGTGGTTTTCTTCTAGAAAAAAAACATGATCTTATCTCAGGTGAGCATTTTTACCTAAAAATAAGTTGTTTATGCACTATTTTGTTATATTTGTTCTGATAAAATTTAATTACGATATGTAGCAATTTCGATACGGTGCGACCTTGACATCAGCTGGGACTACTGTATAGTAACTTTTCTCTAGTATAATAATTGTAGATTGAGCTATTCCTAATGTCTTTTAGCTAGAATCTAGTTACCTGTTGGTTCTTTTACCAGCTTTTTTTTTTCTTTTATAATTTTTTAAAATACTTGTAATTTCTAGAGTAAAAGAGTAAAAATCTGTAACAATCGTAATACTCATTAATATATACGCAAATATATTCAGTGTGTAACTATAATAAGCCTATATTAAAGAAAGCACATTGTGGCGTTGCTATTCAAGAAAAAAATGTGTCATGATGTATAACAATAATAATTTAGTATTAGACTTATGTTTACTAGTTGATCTTTGGAAGACGTGCATGTAATTCATACGTATAGAAAGTGTTTGGGTCTAATAAGCTTAGAAATTATGATATTAATCAATATTAAAAGAATAAAAATAAGAATATTAGGCATATACCTACATTCTAAGCATAAGTTTAATTTACTACATAAAGGTACACATAAAATAATATTACCATAGGTAGTAGTGAATAACTTATTTTTATAATAGTAATCAAAACTAGCTTATAAATTCATACAATTTATGAATGATTAGATATTGTTTTAGTGTTGACATGGTTTTATTTATTTTTACAGCATCTACTTTTGTCAAGAATAAGCGATACATTATGTTGCAGAAATTTATTATGTTGCAGTACAGTTCTGACTAAATAAAAAGTAGACTTAAAAAAAATCAAAATAAAAGTGAAATTGGTGTAATATTTGGTCAAATATCTTATGACGTTACAACATAATAACTGTAGTAAACATTGTAGTGGTAATTATTGTCGAAGAAAAAAATGGTATAATATTTTTCTGAAATTCGTACATATAATACATATACTTGCACATAAAATACATACAATAATAATAATCATAAGTATAATAAAAGTTGCACTGATAAATTATTTTTATTTCAATTATAATTTACTTAGTGCGTGTGTGAAGATATAAACAATTGACTTCTTACAGTAATGTCTCTGGTATCTATGCACTGGACAAAGATCTAATGATGGCTGAATGTCAGCATAGTAGATATATTCTTTTTTCTTTTCTATCAACAAGTTTAAATATTTAAAAACCACTTTGCATTTAGAACAATAACAAGTTGAAATTATGCTAAACAAACTGAGACTAAGTATTGACTGGCACAATCAAAATATTCATAATTACTAAGAAATATTACATAACTGGTAATAGCAACGTGGTGCGAAACATGTAAACTGCTTTCTTGTAAATAAATTTCTAATGCTCCTAATGTGGGATAAATAAGTGTATTTCTAAAATCAATAATAACAAAATAAATTTCCAATGATAGCTGATTTATCATTTTTTTCTGATTACATATTTAAAAATACCGTTACATAATGTAGCAAAACTGCTACATTCTGTCATTTATGCTCTTTAAACACCACAACCTACCAAGTAAAAAAATATTTTTTTTTGAAAAAGCTTTCAAAAAATTAATTTATGTAATGAAGGGTTTCACAAGTTTTATTACAAACTTGAAACGATTTTATCGGTTTGTAAATGTATATAATAGTCGAGAACAACTAGTTATTAATAATTTAAGCATTATATACGCCAGAAATGAAAATCAATTTCACAAATAAGTTTAACTGACTATTCTCTATATGGATTTTATTTTGCTGAATTTAAACCAAACGTGATAATATTAGAAACATTGCGTTCATTTTAAAAATATGTTTATATCTCTTTCAAATATTGGTAACATACATTTCTATAATATGTATCGAACGCGGTGTCTAATGATTAGTATTGATATAAGTAGGCTACGTATTGATGTTGTGCAACCAGCTCATTAAATATTTCATCGTGTTCGTTTTATTTCATTTTCGCTGTTTATTGTTTAAAAAAAAGTTATGTTAATCATGTTTTATTATTACTAATTTTGTTTCAATTACAGATATATATCTATATCACCTTAAAAGTTGTATCAAGATGAAGTTTGCAAAAATAAACATTGCAGCCATACTGTTTATTTGCATATCATACGCACAGGGTGAGTCTATTACGATCACACACGGTTAAAAAAAATTGATGAAATAGTAAAAGAAAATGAAACAGACGTAACCAATTCAACGTTGTAGTCTTGCGGTATTAAAACCTTCTCGAGATTTCCCTTAGTCGGAAAAAACATAGTTTGCAATTATGTCCGTATGTTTGTGTGTGTATGTGTGCGTATGTCTGTGAACACGATTTCCGTTACAGCTAGGTTGATGAAATTTCATATATAAGTAAAATATCAAATTTGTAGTTCTGTAACAACTTTTCATCGATTTCCGGAAACCGGAAGTGGAAGTTATTCTTTTTTTAGATTTTCAAAAGCCTACAACTTAAGTAGTGTTTCATTAATAGATAAACGGAATTTGAAACATGGTTGAAATATCTAATTCTTTGCCTTCCGTCAAATTTTGAAAAATTTCCGTTGACCGTAAGCAGTACTTTACTAAATTTCAGAATTCATGTCCATATCCCGAGTTACCATCCCCATTAGTATTATATAAGAATTTTCGATACAGTTAGGGGATACCACTCCCGCTTTATTTACATTGAGACAGATTTTAGTGTTTGCAGTTCTAGATTTCTAATTATTAAAGACGTTTATTAAGTTAACTAAAATTTTGTGACGACCGCAAATCTTGCAATGTTACTTTAACCCTCTTCTCATTGTCCCATTAAAATTTAATTTTGCACGCCAGTAGAGCTGGGACGACATGCAAGAATATGTAATGTTTATCTAATTTAAAAAAAAACTATATTGTTAATTAAAGGTGAGATAACAATATAGAATTCTAGCGAAATACTTAATTAATAACGAATAACTAACAAGTGAAAAATTATGTTCACATAAATTGTTTATTTTATGTAAAATGATTTTATTATATTAACAAACAAAAATCATTAAAAAAGAAAAAAAAATTATATTAAGGCTTGTTTATGCCTATAACAAAATGGTTTATGGTATTGGAAAATTGTTTTTCTCTATTGCTGTGTGTCATACACGGTTCTTTCGCGTTGTACAACGTTTAGATAGTTGGTACTTCCGAAAAGCAAAATAAGAAAAAGTGATGTAATGAAGTAGAATAAACCCATAGTATCGAGACATATTATACATACAGTAACAATGAATGCTACTTTGTTTTAGCCAAGTGTTTCTGCGAGCAAATTACAACGGTTGTCAATGGACAAAATGTGTCTTCCTGCAAGCCGTACTCTATGTACTTCCCAGCTTTTTCTTCTAACAGTAAAGGTGAGAATATCGATATTTTAAAATCGTTATATTAATCGACATATATGTAAAAATAATTTTAAAAATTAGAGAAGTATTCGGTCCTAACAATAAGGAAATTACCAACTATTTTATGATTCACAAAAGTTAAGGCGAA